ATTCTCCCCCCTACATCATAAGCTTACCTCTATTCATTGGTACACAGCATCGGTTGTGAATCCCTTGATTCTCTCCCTACATCATAAGCTTACCTCTATTCATTGGTACACAGCATCGGTTGTAAATCCCTTGATTATCTCCCTACATAATAAGCTTACCTCTATTCATTGGTACACAGCATCGGTTGTAAATCCCTTGATTATCTCCCTACATCATAAGCTTACCTCTATTCATTGGTACACAGCATCGGTTGTAAATCCCTTGATTATCTCCCTACATCATAAGCTTATTTCTATTCATTGGTACACAGCATCGGTTGTGAATCCCTTGATTCTCTCCCTACATCATAAGCTTACCTCTATTCATTGGTACACAGCATCGGTTGTAAATCCCTTGATTATCTCCCTACATCATAAGCTTATTTCTATTCATTGGTACACAGCATCGGTTGTGAATCCCTTGATTCTCTCCCTGCATCATACGCTTACCTTTATTCATTGGTACAAAGCATCGCTTGTAAATCCCTTGATTCTCTTCCTACATCATAAGCTTACCTCTATTCATTGGTACACAGCATCGGTTGCTAGTTGGAAGTTGACACTTGAAACCATTCTTCTCTATGGGTTGTCAGTTCTTTAAACGGTATGTGGCCGATCCGTTTCAACCACAGTTTCTCAGTTTAGATATGTCGGTAATTCTCCTTCTGCAGTGGATATTCCAAGTACAGATTTTATCGCGTCCCCTCAAAGTCCGTTGTGTAACTTTGAACTCTTATATTATACTCGCAATGCCAAAATGATCTAAGTCGTATGAAATAAGAATTTTACGATATAGTTGCCAATAATTTATATTACGGTGTAAGAAAATTTATATAGCGGTGTAAGAATATCCACTGCACCATATCGTCCCATTGGCTGAAACAAACCAACACAATAATAAACTGAGGTTGCCAACCCGTTTGCCGAGCCTGACTTATGGGGGAGGCCTATGTTCAGTAGTGGCTTTTGATACGCTGTAACGGTATGGTAATGGTAATTGTTATAATAAATTTACTATTCGTATAATATGCGATATTTTATTACTTGACACTATACCACGATTAGATTTTTTTGATACTTTAGTTTTTAACTTTATGTAGATTACATCATGTGTCCATTTCTATGTAATATTTAAATAGATATTTTATATCATAAAATGGCACATAAAATTCAAGTATTTTATCGCATAATTGAATCCTGCAGTGACATTGGGTCCTTACCACGAGTTATATTTACGTCGATTTAGTTAACTATATAGGTATATGTAAAGATATTTATTAGCAACAAGCAATTCAAGATTTCCTCTTACAAGTAAGTTTCCATATTATTTCAATTACTAAATATTGAGTTTAGCAATTAATTTGAAAAGAAAGGAATTCATTTGGAAGGAATTTTGGCGGTGTAAACTTTGTTGAAAAACAAATGTGGCTATGAGGTCAACTTTGGCCTCACCCATCGCATGAGATATCGGAATGGTAAAGACATTCGGATGATTTATAGTTAGTCTTTGGCTGCCTAAAGTAACATGAAATGAACTTGTTTGATCATCTGAAGCCAGAAAATTCATCCTGTATTATTGGCTATACCACTACAGACTAGACTCCTCTTCCACTACAGACTACAATAAATAGTCAAATACAATAATACATGAAAACAGTAATATGTTGTTCTATGAGTAAGTAATATCGAAATGGTACTTTTGTCACTTTATTACTAGTCGCCAGCTTTTTAAATTGTTTGCTAGACGAAGACTAAGAATGCGCCAGCTGACAACTATTACTTAAAAGATTTGCCTGAACTCATCACAATTAGTCGGGGCACTTAGTACAGACCAGATCACACTGTGCCCATCGCTGTCTCTTAAATTTGGTCAAAGTTGAAAGGTAACATCGCACACAGGGATGTGCTCAACTGTGATATATAATTGTTAAAAGCATTTGCCTTTGACATTAAGAATGTTTATGATGATATAAAAGTATAAACATTTATTTTACTTCATTTTATTGTCGGTAGTTATTTTGTTATCAGTAAGTGCGTACCCAACGGATCTTTGCAAAAGCAGCCCACAGTAACTTTCAGAATGATTTCACTAAAAAAATTTATTTTATTTTATTTATTAAAACACACGTTTTCCTTATTAAATAAATATATTTATTTACACAGTAACATAAAACTGAAAAATTACTCCATCGATGTCCGAGAAACTTTAACTTTATTGTTGTCTATAGCATAATGTGTTAGATGAAATATAAACTAGCCAATGTTTCTATAACGACAGTTCAAAAACTTTTTTATACATAAATACAATTTTATCGTAAAAATCTTTATGTTACATTAAGCTTAATTCTTAAAAAATTTAAAGCACAATTTCTAGTTTTTTTTCCAACATTTTCATTATATTTAAATCAATAAGTTAGCGGATGAAAAACTATGTTGATAAATTTGTAGAGGCGCGAACAACATTCACCAAAGCTATGGCATACAGAAAACACAATTATTACAGAATGCCTTAAACAGCACATAACTTTAATATTTATACAGTGGCACTCTAATCATAGCGCCAATAGTTCCAAAAGTTCATTTGTATTTATGCTATATTTATCCTCTGTTTAGACTATAATCAATTTAACGGGAAGTTATCTTTGGTAAAAATAACATAAAAGTAACATATAACTACGTAACCAACCAAAATAAAGAAAAATAAAAGAATCACAAAAAATATTTTTAATAAAAGTTCATACCTTGTATGATAACAATATTTACGTTCGATAAATGTACATACAATTTCATAACAATGAGATCGATTTTAACAAATCACTATTTAATTGTGGACCTGAATCGTTGTATGAAAGTGTTGTAGGTACTATAGCTATGGATATTGTGAGATACTGTTCACACTAAATGATAAAGTATATTATGTAATCTATTGTAAATACAAGGAGTGCCTAACTTGGCTATGCGAGACTGCAAGCGATCTCGCGTCCTGCCCACGCGACGTCGCTATCTTAACATGTAGTCTCAAATCGTATACATAATGGAAATATCGTGTTCTGACAACGTTATCGCGTCTCATCCCGGACATTTTGTAAAGTGGCCGCATATATATGTACATGGCCCGCCTCCTAGCCTAATGTACTCGAGCGATGCTTTTAAAATACGCCCGTCGAGATGCTTCGATGTAATTCTGCACTTAACCACTTACAAGGGGCCAACTCACGTTTATAAACGTCTGTAATTCAAATTGCACTTTTTTAACTTTTAATAAGCTGCCCATTAAAGATCTTTATTCTTACAAACACTTTTTATGATACAAAAATAAAGTGAAACACCAGAAACGTAATTTGTATTTTTGTGGATTTTGTAGATTAAAATCAATGAAACGCCACAAATATCTAAAATTTACCGGATGTTGAACGTGTCTCGTCCTAGATACTGATCCGACGCAGCCTCAGTATTCAGGAATCAGTGAGGTTTTACCTGTAACAAAACTCATATTATAGCAACAGAATAAAATTTATACCTGCTATATCGGCCCTAATAAATTTTAATATATAGTGCACAAGAATGTCAAATAACTTTAAATTTAGATAGAGACAGAAGTGTATGATTACCGAGTTAAAAGTCAACGGTACGAATTCCCCTACACGTAGGGGAATTCGTACCATCTGGTAAGATGGTCGGGATTCGTCTGGAAACTCCTGACATTTCAAATGATCTCCAGACTCCCGACAAAACTCAAAATCCCCAGACAAAGAGCAAAAAAAAACTCTCGGAAAGTTAACGTATGATCTTTAATAAAATCTAAATTAGTAATTAGTCTGAATTTTGAAGTAAATTGTTTGAATTTTAAATATTTTCTGAATAAAGAATTCAAAATGGTGGACTCTAGTAAAGTCTAATGCCACATTCATGTGGCAACCTAAAACTTAGTGTAGGTACTTAAATTAGATTTGTTTAAAGTATTTTTAGTGGCCTCCACTACAAAAAATAAAGTTTTTATTTTTATTTTTTATATCTACCGACATTATCAATACTTGTCCAGATACTTTGGTCTTCCGATCTGGCAAACCTACCTACGTTACCAATAATACGATCTCGTTACCTGCCCTAATTGATACGACGTTGTTTATATTATTTGTAAAAGCTGTTCCATTAGTAACAGTTTTGTATATTAAAGAACAACTTAGTCGATGTAAATAATGTATACAACTACAGTAAACGACTAGAAACTTAGTCGAGAAAATAATGATAAAAAAAGAAGACGAGTAAACTATATTTTTATCTATAAAAATAAGTATTAAATATATCAATGGTCTTCTGACGCATTTTTAAAAACGACGTTAAAGAAAATCCTTAATTTTACTACATTTTTTACAAACTATGTAGGTACATAACGCTAACTGCAAATACATGTCCGTTATCAAACAAGTTTCATCAGTTCATTTTATTTGTGATTACTAATGTTTTAATGCAAAATTCTAATTCCAAGTATATATCTATCCTATACCTTTAAACGAGCAATTCTTGTATATATATATATATATATATATATATATATATATATATAATCGGAATCTCGAAACGGCTCCAACGATTTTCATAAAATTTTGTGTCCAGGGAGTATCTAGCTAGAATTTATTTTTAGAAAATGTCTTTTTCTCCGTGTTTTCAGGCAATGAAAAACTGCTACAATATAAGAAGGTAAATTTTGACGCTGCGTAAATGATCGTAATAGCTCAAGTGGATATCGAGCGGTCGCGAAATCGTAATGCCTTGGTTTGCGCCCTGTCTTCGGGACTTTTTCAAGTTTCCTTCTTTTGTGAGAAAATCTATTATTTCGAGCCCTTTTTTTAGTGTTTTTTACAAATACGAAAATTTTAATTAAGCTAATTGCATAAACATTTTAAATTAAAACCGAGCAAAGTCCTCACCGAGGCGAGCAGTCGGCGTGGCAGCGTCGGTCATCGTGCGGCGTCGCACACGTCGGGGTCGGGCGGGCTGCCGTATCCACTGGACGCGTCGTCCGCGCCTGCGCATCCGCCACCCTCCTTATCTGCCAACGCAACCCCCGCCGCTCCACACGCACCCACTTGGTACCCGCCACTTGGCGACTGTTTAGAAAGTTTAGAAAGAATAATTGGCATGTGGTAGTGGCATAAGATAATCTATTGATACACCGCATTAATAATAATAATAATGTCCTCCAGACCGAATTTCGGTCACGGTGACCTGCTTCAACGGAGACTAGTCACTGGTGCACGACAGGATTATAGTGCCCAAGTATATGCGCAAGCACAGATGCACTCTCTATTCCCTCACTCTCATAATCCGATGGGACGGTAAACCGACACGACGGGAGAGAAGATCAGGCTCAGAACCAACGGCTTCATGTGCTTTCCGAGGCTAGAGGTTGAGACACTGCCAAATTCCTGACTTCGGGCAGTTACTGGGAATATCTTGACGGAAAAACTCAATAATTGATTTTTTGGCCCGACCCGAGATTCGAACTCAGGACCTCATGATCAGTAGGCGCACTAATATAACCACTACACCAACAAGGCAGCCACCTCATTACTAAGTAAAATGCTTGGAAACACTACATGTGACGGACGGATGCCCATGTACTCAGCAAATGTTTAAGATGTGTTTAACAATGACTTTATTCAGACCGATCACGTATTCAGCGTCATAGTGGGGGCTTTTGGTACTATGATTGTTAATTCACCTCCCAAAAATGGTCTTTATGGCATGCCCTCACTGTGGCATAGACCTATATTCCGATTAAGGATTGTTTTAAGAGTGATGAGAATAAGAAATTATTTCTTACTGCTTTAGCGTTAGTCACTATATTATGCCATCTGCGTTCGGTGTTGTAAAGATGTCTTTCGTTTAGTTCGATAATCTCGATTTATATGTATTTCCTTCAACCATAATTATAATTTACGAGATTTGTATGTACCTATTATATTTTTATATACAGGCCATAGGGAAAGCCTGTTAAAATATGTTTATTTTTTTATTTTTGTATCAAACAGGCCAGTTATAACGTTATGTCTAATTCCAAATAACAGTACTTCCACTGATGTGTTCCAGTTTGAAGGTTATAGGGATTCAGTATAATTATAGACGGTGTGCCATCTCATCTTAGTCTTCGAAGGTGACGACGCATCTGTAGCCTAGTTGGCTGCAGGTGTTCTGGACTACAGTAGCTGCTTACCATCAGGTGGACTGTAAGTTCATCTGTTACTTAAATTTTATAAAAAAATATTGAAAAAGGACTATTTACAAGTTAAAATACATTTTTTATAGAATAAGGGTGACAAACGAGCACACAGTCCACCTAATGGTAAGTGGATTCTATGGCCGTTTCCGGTTCGGTTCCGGTTTCCGTCTCCGGTTCTCTACACTCACCATACAAAACACAGCATCATTGAGCTGCTATTTTACACTGTTATTCTTGATAGCGTGGTCCTTCCCCGGTCGAGCCGACCCATTCGTGCTACAACTATACTACTAATATAGCGGCAGCCATACCACTTACAAAATGATTCAATTTCGAATTTTCCTCCACATATTTACAACCTACATTAAAATATCGTGTTTAATTGAAAATGGTTCCGCCTCGGGAACATTTTCGCGCGACGTTTTTTTTGAGATTTCAAATGACTGAACAAATTGTTAGATAAACTTAAAATGTCTATGGATAAAGGCTCTTTTAAGGCAAACCTGTACCGCTGGTAAAACAAATTTCAGGTACAGTTGACTAAATTTTAGGAGTTGAAAAAAGGTAGTCATCCTTTGACAGCTGTTATGGAAGAAAACGTCCTAAGCTCAGTGAAAAAAATTATTTTAGAGAATACCGCTACCACTACCGTTAAAGTCCACTAAAGATAAGCTAAAGATAAGCCCCCCTCCCCATAGATTTCCTCAAACGTGTGATATTTGCCACAGTTGCCCCGCTTGGCAAGCGGGTTGGCATACGCAGTATTTTTTAATTTTAGTCGTTATTAGGAAGACATACACGTGGTACACATACAGGACAGAGCCATGATGCAGCTATACGAGTTGTAGCACGAATGGGTCGGCTCGACCGGGTTAGGACCACGCTCTCATAGAATATCACCGTGAAATGGCAGCTTAAAGCTGCTGTATTTCGGTGAATGTAGAGAACCGAAGGCCCTTTTTACTAGAAACGAGGCATTCCATCTTAGTCCTCTGGAGTGACTACGCATCTGCATTATGATTCGATGATGAATGTAAGTTTCTATGTGCAACGACTTAAAAAAAGCTGCTACCCCTGATTTGTTCCCTCTTTCGCCTTTTACGACACCCACGGGATGATATGGAGTAGTGGTTAATTTTACACCACCTCTACATTAAAGAGTATAGACGAATTAAACGAGATTCAGAAAATATTGCCGTTGGATCCGAAAACGTTTATGCCGGCACACTCATGTCTCAAAACGAGCGACGTTTTGCACAGTACAGCAGTTAAGCTTTTGGGTCACCTTCCTTACAGCCTTGATTTAGCGCCATGCATTTGGCTTCCTTTTATTCTCAAAAATAAAAACTGTGCTTAAAGGGAAACAGTTTTTATCACCGGAAGATTTACTAGCAGTGATCAAGTAGATCGCAGGGAAGGTGTCTAAGGCGGACTGAAAAAACTGTTTCGAAAATTGGTTCATGCGCATGAAACTTTTATTACCTAGATACTGGTGAAGAGTTTTTATAGTAATTATGGATAAATCTAAATTATAGATCTTTTTTTTAATTGTGTAAAACTTTTTGAGTCGCCGCGTATTCTTTGCAGGAATTTCTTAGAATTCAGCATCGACTCTTAGACACTAGTTTGCATAAATTACTGTAAACTGGACATGTTTTAATGTGAAAGGCAATCCCGTCTGTGGCGAGGTACGTAATAATTTCTTATCATTAGATTCTAACCATAAATCTACGACAAATTCTATCAAAAATGACAGCAATGGAAAAATCTGTGCACAAAATTTGGTTACGCTAATTTCTTTTTGTTACACATGCTTCATTTTTATTCGTATCTCTGATGCCAATTTTCGCATCATATTTTATAGCCGCCTGGGAAATGACGTAAATAAAAATAAACTAAACCCGCAAATATAGGTAATTTGATTTTCGATGTTAGCAATTCTCTTGTCGAGCTCCAAACAGTAGACCGTGAGCGCAATCAAAAAGTCGATTAGAAATGTCGCGCGGCTGAATGGGTTCCCTCCACTCGCGCGACTCATAAAATGAAATAGATTCCCCCACATTCGCATTCCGACAAGCGTTCGTACGAGAAAGATTAATGATCACAAAAGAAACATAATAAAGTGGAGATAGAATCTTCCACTAACAGTGTCCTTGTGGGAGTTATTTACTTCGCTGAGTCGACTTTTTCACGTGCCCTTTATTTAGGACAGGAACATTTTAAAGAAAGGCCGATTATAAATAAAAAACTGGCGGTAAAACACAACATAAAATAGTTGCTACTTATATTAAGATCTGTGTTAAATTGATACTATTGAAATAACGTTTGAGGCATCGTTTAGATCATAACAATTATAATATAAATAATTATAATTAACAATTTATTGCGTTCATATTGATGAAATTATGCAATTGTGTTCCCAGTCTCAAAAACCGAACTGGCCCACGTAAGTGTATACGGTTCAGTAATTGATAAATAAATTGTATCGATGGCAATGAAATAAAGGCGTGAGAATCCAGCATTATCGATCTGGTTCTATAAATTTCTTTATTTTATTTTTAAAATCAATCACTTCCATAACTGCGTTAATTAAAATTTGCAAACAACACAACATCTAACCACGAGAAGCCTTGTTACAATTACATATAGTTTAGGTGGTTGCAAATTGCAAAGCTAACTTATCTGATTAAACATGCCTCTAGTATTATTACAAGATATGAGTATCACATATAAGCATAGCTTTTTATACTGTAATTAGTGGCATTATATTTTTATTTTTACATAGTAAAATACAAGTCGTGGTAGCTCGCTAACATTGCAGTACGCGAATTAGGTTTCAACACCGCCGGCATTAATGAAATTTTTATTTACAATTTTAAGTGCTAATTTAATACGTACTTTACGGTGAAGGAAAACATCATGAGGAAATCTGCATGTTTTAGACATTAAAAATATTTCGAGGACATGCGCAATCCACCAAGACGCAGCAGCGGAGCCCTAGCCCTAAAACCTCAGAAATGAAAGAAGGCCTGTATCCAGGATTGGGACGTAGTAGACTTTTTAACTTTAACACAGTAAAATATTTTTATGACAGAAAATTAATAATAACTTGTTACAAAAAAAGAAAAGATTTACCTGCAACCCACTGACTTGTCTTCGTATATGCGCCAGGCCACTGGGATTTGCCGCCATGGTCGCAAACACCAGCCTCTCTTCGTAATCGTACTCGCAAAGTATCTTGTTGTCACACAGATAAAATCTGTCGCCTACGCAGAACCTGCATAAAATTATGGACATTGATATAAAGCAGGAGACATTAGGTGTGTATCAAATTTTATAAATACGTTATTGAACAATTTAGTAATTCTTCGCTTCTTACAATACGTATTTAAGCTAATTTATCGATAGATGGCGGTAGAATTATCTTCATCAAGCCAACCATAAGTACCGTGAAGTGGGGGTGAAAATTACTAGATGTCTACTATATGTACTATGTATATGTGATAAAAGCAAATCTTCTCTACAAAAGGTCGATGTCCGACAATGGACTTTTGCCGACTAATAAAGGTAGAGTGTGACCCCTGTGATCGACATTGGTCTGACGAACACCTGCTCCACTTTTATATTTTAATAAAGGGTTCATAATGATACCTACAGCCTTTAGGCTTTAAATTGTAAATTAATTTTATAATTATTTTTATGGCATCTGATTCTAGGAGATATCGTAATAACTGACTTAGGGGAATGGTTGGAAAACTTATAAGCTCGGATGGCTGTTTACTCTAATTATACTTGAGTATTGACTTTTTATGTGCATAAAATGGAAATCTCGTACAGAGAGAGAAAGAACACTTTACCTGTGATTGCACTGTTGACAGGCGAAGCATTCTAAGTGGTACACAAAACTCTTCGCTCGCATAACCATTTCGAAGGCTGGAATTACTTTGTTGCACGCTACACAATTGCCTGTAGCACCAAATAACCTGTCAAAAAACCGAGTTATAAGTAAGATGGGTTATATTTGATACGGTATAAGTTAATAATGTTCTTTAAATTTGTCATTTAATGGCGCCTTCCACGACAAATATTTTAATGTCATGAAAATTACAATAACCAAAACTGCATAAAACGATACAAACTGCGTAATACAACTAAGTCGTTAAGTTAGTTACAAAATTATATTAAGGGGTTTATACACTGACCTCTATATATACAAGTACGCCATGTATATATAAAGGTGGGTTTACAATTGACAAACGTACCGAATATATAAAACCTATTTCGTAAAAATTTCGTACATTTTATTGTGAAACAAAAAATTACCTAAGATAATCCCTCTTGCAGAGCATTAGATCGGCTTTGTAGTATAACTTGGAGCCAACTTCTCCGAGACGACAGTCACAGCAGCCACATTTGAGGCAGTCTTCATGCCAGAACCTCTCCATCGCTTTCAATAGAAACCTTTCGGTGATAACTTTCCCGCACTGGGCGCATAGCCTTGCACCCGTGTTCCCCGTTACTGTGTTGTTCAGTGAATATTTATTTTCTTCTTGTTGATCTGTGAAAAGAATACTCTAATAAATGATATGATAATCAAAAATTTGAGGATTTCAAACGATACATTGACGTTCTTAATCCAACTAAAAATAATAATGCTTCAAATTATATCTTTTTTTTGTACACTGTGTAAACGCGATCTTACGAGTACAGTCCACCTGTTAAGAGGCTACTGTAGCTAGCGGAGACCTGCAGCCAATTACAAACAACGGAGGTTACAGATGCGTTTTCACTAAGGACTAAGATGGAATAGCTGTCTGTCTGTAATTATACTAGTGCTCCTCTTCAGACCGAAACTCAGCAGAGCATGCACTGCTGAGCGGCAGAAATAGATACCTACCTACCCAGATGAACCTAAAGTAATAATAATAATGTCCGAGAACGGCGGCCTGCCTCAACGGAGGCTAGCCATCGGCGCAGGACAGGATTATAGTGCCCAAGTGTATGCGTAAGCACAGGTGTACTCTCTACTCTCACTCTCATAATCCGATGGGACGGTAAACCGACACGACCGGAGAGAGATCAGGCGCAGGACCAACGGCTTTACGTGCATTCCGAGGCACGGCGGTGAGACACCGCCAACTTCCTGACTCCGGGCAGCTACTGAGAATTTCTTGACGGAAAAACTCAATAATTGATTTTTGGCCCGAGCCGGAATTCGAACCCAGGACCTCATGATCAGCTGTCGCACTACTACAACCACTAGACCAACGAGGCAGTCAACCTTGAGTATACATAGATTATAAAGTGTAACCAGTCGTTTAGAAACTAAAAGTGTAAACATAAAATTGTTGTAATTTATATTCTCTACAAATTCACGTATCGATTCATCGTCATCATCATTACAGTCCTTCACAAGTCCACTGCTGAACACAGGCCTCCCCCAAGTAATGCCACAAAGCACGGTCCTGAGTCACCTGCATCCATCGACTTCCTGCATGTCTTAACCACGTATCAATTAAAACGAATTAAATCTAAAATCAACTTTACGTCACTTATACTATACAAATAAAGTATGTTCCTAAAGAGCAATGAGCTGCAAAGGCCAACGAATCTTACTAGGTACAAATCTAAATGTAGAAATATAATTAAAATTTTACACATATTTATAACTACGTAATGAACGGAAAATGGTACTTAAACGATCTGTTAAGTCTTAAATTATGTGCAATAATTTTTATTAGCCTCCATAAAAAAGCAAACATACTAATTAAGATAAAACTACTAGAAATGTCTAAAAGAAAATGTTTTGCTTTTAACGACGTAAGGAAATGCCTCGGATTGCTGATAATGTTTTTACTGTAATTTAAAAATTTTGCAAAAATTATCGGATGCCTTAGCATTACCTAAGTTTTCGCGAAGCATTTTACTAAGAAATATGTACCTTCGTCGTAGCTAACATATTGGCATAATGTCTCTGAATAAATCACATCGTTAAAATAATTTATTGTAGAAATGTAAAAAATTTTAATTCATTATTTGTACGTGATACAAAATTATTTATAACATACTTTGTTTTAACTTAACGTAATGCAAATAGAGGTTTATTTCGTGCACCTAACTTGTGACACGCAAGATTCACTTTGCTTGAAAGTAGAGGAGAGTCGATGATATTATGTAGTAATTTGTACAACAACATTTGATGTCAACTCTTATATCACGGATCTCATATATTAACCATTTTTATATAAACTTAGTTTGATAAAATTTTTAAACTTTGAGCAGTTCAAATTTTGTATATTTTCCGAGTTTTTGTTGCAAAAGCGAACGTTGTAAAATACAAAACTATCCCCGTTTATTTGCTGATGCGATAGAAAGATGATGTGATTGCATACTATTTAATTTATACATCAAAAACGCATAGGTCGATTGCGTTGATAGCCTCCCGACCCCCATTTTTTAATCTCGTGCACAGTTAAATGACGTATATTTGATTGAAATTGATCGGGCAAAATCTAATTCAATTTTTAAATAACTATCATATTCAATTTTTAAATAACTATCATATTCAATTTGAGCATTAAATAATGCAAAATTCATTGTTTAATGCTCAAAGTATTCTGCATAAAATGTTATTGTCTAGTACATTTTTATAGGATAAGGGTGACAAACGAGCACACAGTCCACTTGATGGTAAGTGGATGCTGTGGCCCCTAGACATCTACATCCATCATCGATTACGAATCAAAATGCAGATATAATGCCTTTTTAACCCAAAGTTAATCATTACGCCTAAGTTAAACACACTTGGTACACTTGCTGCGGTACGAATGGGTCGGCTCGATCGTGAATGTCCACGTTGGCATAGAATACCGGGGAGAAATACCAGGTGTTTCGTATGTCGAGAGAGGAGAACCAGAAACATCATCCTTAGGGGTGACAACGCATCCGAATTAACATTCTTACTTGAGGATAGATGTGGATGTCTATAGGCCACAGCACCTCTAGTAACTCTCTATCGTAACGTTAATAATACGATTTATTTCTACCTGGATAACTATATTTGTTTATTACAAGAAAAAAGTTAATTTAGTTTCGTTGCAGATTAACCGATATTAACATTCTTACTTGAGGATAGATATGGATGTCTATAGGCCACAGCACCTCTAGTAACTCTCTATCGTAACGTTAATAATACGATTTATTTCTACCTGGATAACTATATCTGTTTATTACAAGAAAAAAGTTAATTTAGTTTCGTTGCACATTAACCGATATTAACATTCTTACTTGAGGATAGATGTGGATGTCTATAAGCCACAGCACCTCTAGTAACTCTCTATCGTAACGTTAATAATACGATTTATTTCTACCTGGATAACTATATTTGTTTATTATAAGAAAAAAGTTAATTTAGTTTCGTTGCACATTAACCGATATTAACATTCTTACTTGAGGATAGATATGGATGTCTATAGGCCACAGCACCTCTAGTAACTCTCTATCGTAACGTTAATAATACGATTTATTTCTACCTGGATAACTATATTTGTTTATTACAAGAAAAAAGTTAATTTAGTTTCGTTGCACATTAACCGATATTAACATTCTTACTTGAGGATAGATGTGGATGTCTATAGGCCACAGCACCTCTAGTAACTCTCTATCGTAACGTTAATAATACGATTTATTTCTACCTGGATAACTATATTTGTTTATTACAAGAAAAAAGTTAATTTAGTTTCGTTGCAGATTAACCGATATTAACATTCTTACTTGAGGATAGATATGGATGTCTATAGGCCACAGCACCTCTAGTAACTCTCTATCGTAACGTTAATAATACGATTTATTTCTACCTGGATAACTATATTTGTTTATTACAAGAAAAAAGTTAATTTAGTTTCGTTGCACATTAACCGATATTAACATTCTTACTTGAGGATAGATATGGATGTCTATAGGCCACAGCACCTCTAGTAACTCTCTATCGTAACGTTAATAATACGATTTATTTCTACCTGGATAACTATATTTGTTTATTACAAGAAAAAAGTTAATTTAGTTTCGTTGCAGATTAACCGATATTAACATTCTTACTTGAGGATAGATGTGGATGTCTATAGGCCACAGCACCTCTAGTAACTCTCTATCATAACGTTAATAATACGATTTATTTCTACCTGGATAACTATATTTGTTTATTACAAGAAAAAAGTTAATTTAGTTTCGTTGCACATTAACCGATATTAATCGTGACATTTAATGTCACGATTAATATCGGTTGTGGGCCGATCGTGTTCTACGCTGTAACAGCTTCAATTAAATTAGAGTAGAAGCATACAAGGAATTGATGAATTGTTGTACTAAGATGCGCGTACGCATTACTCTAAAACGAGAAAAAGTTGGCAACATTGTGAAGCGTGCAAAACAAAACCATTAAACACATTAACAACGTTCTATAAAACCTTATGAGGCTTTGTTACTCTAAAAGGTTTAATTAAATTTCTAATGACCTTTCACAATAATAATCGCAAATGTAGATTTTGTGCGGCTGAATACATTAAAACATAATATTGTTCAGGTACTTTTGTTTAAATGGATTCTAAGAGTTTTAATATTTTATTTTTTTAAGATCCCAATATTTACTCTCTCTTGCTCTGTTTCTATTTATTTTTGGTATAGCTCGTTTAATAAGACAGTCTAATTTTATCTGTTTGCTCCTCTCGACATTCGCTATTTTCGAATAATCGTCCTATTTTCTCTTTTCTGAATCACTCTAGTCAAGAAATCTTTTTTTATTTATTTAAATCAAACGATTTGGCTTACAGAACGCATTCTAAAACATCAACATAATCTTAAAATACATTTCAAAGTCATGCAAAATAAAATAATGAATTATACAAAAGTAGAGATTAAGTAGTATGGCAAATAGAATAATATATTATAATTAATAAAACATTAGGAAATAGTAAAGTGTCACACAACCTTAAAATTAATAATAAAAATAAAATAAAATAACACATTTAAAAATTTCAATTTAAATCTGAATGAAATTCGAAAAGCTGTCGTCAAATATGTCGAAATATTATATCTAAACAATCGCAACCTTCTTCCTCAAAGTGGTTTCCTTATGTCCCGGAAACCGGCGCTGTCGCGTAGATAGATACTCATTTTGTATTTTATCCCGTCTTATCTACTCAGCATCCGGATAAAATTATTACGCTGATGCATTTATTAGGTAATAAGTCGCACCCTTTAGTTTAACTGGAATACTTAAGTCAGTCAGTTACTTTTCACCATTTGAGTCATGTGGCTCGCATTTGGTGTTGCAAATATCCCTCTATCATCGGTCTATAGCGTGTCTTAATGTCACACCTGGTGACCGAATGTGTGATATAATTGCTGTGTGTATATGAGAGGGTTATCAAATGCTAGATACTATTATTTCTAGCTATTCACTGGGTATTGGCAATTTCCATATATTTTTGGAATATACTATACATTTCGCGAAGACTCCATTAGATTTTCGTCTATTCTTAGGCTTAAAACTGTCCGTTT